AAAAAAAAAAAAATACCTGTGACGTGGCTAGCTATTTTATATTGTACTGTTATTGTCGATGTCCATTCTTTGTGGCTGTAATGTAACGCTGCTAGTTATCTATGTAAAATTAAATTGTCTCTACTAGGCCGGGATAGCCTGGTCAGTGGGGTGCCGGGCCCATGTCCAAGAGTTCGTGGGTTCGGCCCCTGCTGGTCGAAGACTCCCCGTGTAGTAAATGGTGACTGATACACGTTAAATCTGTAGAGTCTCAAAGTCCTCCATGTTCCCATAACAAATCAATACCTCTGGGGGTACCGATCCAGGAGTTTCCTTGCCTTCTGGATTGGTTCAAAATTACAAGGCTACGGCGTTGAACATTTGTAGTCGTAAACCCAAAAATTGGGTCGACTGTTCAACGGCGGTCATAAAATAAAATAACATAGCGGAAACTAAAAATATAAATGTAAGGCTTATTATTACTATTATAAATTAGTTATAAAAGAAGTGAAACATTAAATTTCACACTCTTAAGATAGAATAAAGAAACAATCAAACAAATGTCATACTTAATTCATAACAAAATCTTCTCAATAGACCATTTCTGGGGCCCATAATAGCTAAAAAGTAATCTGATACGTCCTATTTCTTTTAATTTGTTAAAAATGTTAGTTGCAATCTTTCAAAGAATGCAAATTTAAAAAAACTAACATAGATTACATAGTTACAACATGCCTATTTTTGTTAATAGTTTTGCAAAATGAGGATTTCAGTTTGAAACAAATGGTATCAACAATTATAACTTTCATACCTATAAATATTNAAAAACTAACATAGATTACATAGTTACAACATGCCTATTTTTGTTAATAGTTTTGCAAAATGAGGATTTCAGTTTGAAACAAATGGTATATCAACAATTATAACTTTCATACCTATAAATATTTCCTATATAAATACATTAGGATAACTGTCCAACTTCATCATTCTTACATTAATTTTTGTTTTAAAAAATTCCAATAAAATCACAGGGACAGGGCTGCCATTGGATGAAAACAAGAATAATGTAGCTTTAGTTGCATCATATATGAAAAAAAGTATCCTAAATAGTCTCCAAGATATATAAAATAGGTGCCAACATCATATCCTCCTCTAACATAATTTTAATTATTTGTGCTATAAAAGTATAAAATTCAAATAATATGCAGTTAGATACTCATATTTTATAAAAAAAATTTACATTTATTTGTGGATTTATCAACAATATATAGAAAGAGGAATGCTGAAGGAACTGCTGTAGAAAACTTCAAAAAATTTTGAACATTTTAAAAATATCTATTTTTAGTTTTATTCTTTATGAGGCATAAATTGTTGTAATTAAAAAAAAACATTGAAAAAAAAAAGCTAGAGACTAAAAATTTTAGGCGTTATAAAAAATGAAGTAGAAATGACCTTTAGGGCGCTTTTTCATTACACGACACGATACCGACAAAATCGGACGACAAATGTGTGAACGACAATGTCGTTGCCGGATCGTTTAAGCAATTGTTTTTTCACTTGTCCGATATCGTTAGTCCGAGAAGTAGAAANAAAAAGCACCTTTACTTTCATAAATGAATTTTTTTAACCTTACTATAAAATAAAAATTTAGTATAAAATAAACAAAATCTGCATTCTAAAAGTACTTAAATAATTTTCAACAATAATATGAAAGGAAAATTATTATATAGGGACAAATAAATTAAAATTAAGAATTCTATAATTGAAAATGAAGTGGGAAAAAACACACAATGTTAAAAAAAATAATAAATTTTACATTTTATACAACATTTTCTTGGGATTTTTAGTATAAATAAATTAAATTTGTTTTCCTTTTATGAACAAGTTTATCAATTCTAGCCGATTCAATTTCATGTTCTCTCTCTGTTACTTATAATTTTTCAGCAACTTCATGAGTTAAACATGAATTGGCAAGCAGACACAGAAGCTGACGTACTAATAAGAAATCATGTTCTACCGTGTTCTGCTCCTCACACTCCCATTCAAAATGAATGAATTGAAAAACAAGTACAGTTGCAATACTTGACCTTGAGTCATTATTTCGCTTTGTTGGCTATCATTATGCATTTTAAAAGAAGAATAGCAGAAATGAGAGGATTTAAAAAAGAAAAGAAAAAAGAAGTAAAAGGATATAACAGGGGAGGGGGGGGGGAAGAGTGCAGAAATAATAGAAAAAGTAAGGAAAATATGACGTCTGCAGTCCCTGCAAACTTCAACATTCCAAATCGAACATCAAAACAAACCGATCCAAAATTGTAATTACTTGTGGACCCTTATTCTGTCTCACTACGCATGAAAACAGCGAGTTTTATTTTTATCTGCTATAGAACAGGTGAATTTGAAACTCGAATTTCCTTTCTCGGCTCTAATTTGCAGCTGCTTAGTTTAGACATTTGAAGAAAAGAAATAGAAATATTGCAACTTAATTCATATATCAAGTTTTTATTTTGTTTACTTTTCCTAACTGAAGCATTTCCAAATTTAAAGCTTATTAAAAAAATTACGATCAGAATTCGACAAAACGAATATCACCATTACCTTTTTCTATTGTAAATAGCTCTAAAAAAATTAACTACCAATTTTGTGTAATTAAAGACAATTTTTTATTTTTATTTTACTACTTCGTTAAATTTAAAAGAGGGGGGGGGAAACGTAATCCTCAGAGATATTACATGAGCAGGAGGACCATTCATGCAGTGTGAATTCCATTAGTCTGATTGGTTAAACATGTCTGTCTTGCTTTTGACATTGCAGTGAGGAAGAATAAAGTTTGGATAAAACGGAAACGCGCGGGGGAAAGAGGGAAACTCAAGTTATTCTTAATTTTAGTCGCTAATTGGCTTAAAAAAGTCGCTAATTTTACGCAACTCATTGCAAATTAGTTGTTTTTACTCATATTTCTACTATAATAGACGCCCTAGTTGCTATTGCTTGAAAATAGTCGCTTTAGTAGCCTTTTTAGTCGCCAATGGCAGCCCTGCAGGGAGGAAGGGGGGGAAAAAAAAGAGAAAGAAAATAGTTCCGGATAGCTAGGTCCATAGTCTGAAAGGAAAGAAACAGAATTAAAATAGAATACGAAAAAATTAAACATCGAAAATTTCATAACTCACTTCTAGAACACTTCAAGTTCCTTGAGAACAATCATGTCATGCTTAAAAAATTATGTTTTACTCAAACCTACAAAATGTAATTCATAAGTCAATAAAAATAAACATCTAACACGACATTAAATCTTTTAAATTTTAACGATTATTTTTTCAAATTTTAAAAATAAATATAAAAAAATCAACTATTTAAAATTACAAAATGTTACTGTACCGTAAAAATTAGTCTGATTAGCTAGAGCAAGGATTTGCGAAAATTCTTTCTAAAATGATTTCCTATAAAACAAGCCTAATTTGTCATTCAACATTTTCAAATAAAAAAAATTAAGACTAGAACAAGCTTATTAAAAAGGATTTTTTTTTTCTTTTAAAAAAAAAAAGCGATTTTTTGCATGTGCACATATCAAGGTTGGCAAGTTTTTCATAAGTGCCAAAAATCCTAAATTTTAGTGTCAAGATAATTTTTCTATTCTGTCAGGATAATTCTAAATTTCAGAATAATAATTATTATTATAAATTTACAAACGATCAATCAATTATATTTTTGAATTATTTCAATATTAAACTATTTTTGTTTTGACAATGACTGTCGAAAACTTGCACCTTGGTGTAAAAATATTATTAATGTAAAATAGAATTTTATCTAATTAGTTAAATTATTGAAAATGAAAATACAAAAACATCCAATAAACTTATTCATCATACATAAAATAAATTTTCATAGCGACAAATTTTTTAACATATAATTTTGTATGAATTTCTTAAGATTAAAAATTTTTCGCAGCTGCCAAAATTGTTAAATAAAAGAATTAAAATTAATAGTTAGATTAATAATAATTACAATAATTTTTGTATTATATAATATAAATCAAAATTATAAAAGTAATATAATGCAAGTATTGTGCAGGATTTAGTATCCAATAAAATGTCCTCAACATCAAAAAAGAAACCTGCCCCTGGTTTTTTACAGTTAAGATACTTTTCGACACGGCAAACCCAGTTTTGGACGTCAAAAACACAACCCTAGTACATATGGCGAGAAACTTCGGAACCTGAAACTTCTTGACTTCAGAAACAGATCCCTCGTTGTCAAAATTTGAAGAATTTAAGACTGTAAACCTAAGAATAAATATACACAGAAATTTAATACATCATATTTGTGAGAAAAAAAAGAAATAAATTAAAAACAAATTAAATAGAAATTAAGAATAATATAAGAATATAAATAGATATTTTAAAATACTATCAATTTTGCAATGAAAAGAAGAGAAACAATACTTTCACTGTGATTTAAAAGTCAAAATTGTTAATAAGGTACACATTAACAATGAAACATATTGAGAAGGAAAAAAAATAGCGACAAAAATGAAGAGTTCATAATACAATTAAAAGAAAATCAAGATAGAATGATGAGTAATTCGTAGAAGGTTTCTAAATTAGGACTATCCCATGTTTTGCGATTTTTAAGAATTATTAAGTTTTAACATTAATAACTAAAGCCTTGAAATGCACTACAAAGAAGAAAAACAACACATTTTTAAAGGAGTAGTTAAAATGTAAAATATATCCAAATTAAACATGCATAAAACAGTTCTAACGAAATGTTTTTTCAGTTCAAAAGTAAAATACATCCAAACGGCAATCATACAAAGAGAAAAAAAAACAGTATGAACAATTCAGTTAAAATGAATCATATTTCCTAACCAAATCGCTGAAGTACAAGCGAAGGGGGGGGGGAAATAATTCAGTGCAAAATTCTTTCAAATCCCTGAAATACAAAAACGGAAGAAAAGGGGAGGAGAGACATGCTTCAAAATTAATTAATAAATTGGATAAAATGTGATATATACCAAAAAACACAGCAAGGATTTAAGTGAAATAAAATGAGCAACAATTATTTGACCTTGAACAGCATTTAATACAGTATCAACTGATTATGAGGTTAACCACCAAACCTTTATTTGCCTCAACAGTTTGTGAACTCAGCAAAAGAAAGTTTATAGAAATTATAGGCAATATTATGATTAATTTTTCTGATGGAACAGAGCTTCCTTTCTCATAAATAAATATAGTTTTTGAAATTCAGTTTTAGTAATGATCGTTTCAAGCAAAAAACTATAAACATCTGTCATTATCTCAGTACATTTAAAACAGAAATTACATGAGAGAAAGAAATTTTAGAACTTTGAGTTATAAAATTTTAATGAATGGTAAATTAAACTTATTAAATACAAACTGTAAAGATATTCTAGAAAAGCTACATATGCATACCAGCCAACATAGGAGATATAAAATAGAGATTTTAATAATGACATTCTTTAGGCTACGAGTAAAGTTTTGATACATTATGCATAATCATGTAAGGCAAAAAGAAATTCAAAATTGGAAATAATATAAGCACTTACATTTGGTGAAGTAAAAAATATGTATATAAATCTTAATCTAAAGAAGACTTTTTTTAAACCATTATTTGTAGTTACTTTAACTATAAACACTCAACATACTGCAATTCTGGCAATAGCACCATGTTTTTGTGGAATAAAAGAATATTTCTGCCATCAGCAGATATTTTACCACCAAAATTTATTTTCATAAAACTTTATTTAACAAATATGGGGAAATTTCAGAATATATGAGTAAACAGGAGAGACATAAAATACAGGAGTCTTCCTTAAAAAACAGGAGACTTGGCAGGTATTGCATATATTTGTGTCTTATTTTAGGAGTATGATTTATATGCAAATTTATAAGCTTAACACATTTAATTGTTAGGGTCAATTCCACTAGATATTTAATCAGCTGTCATCAATTATTCAGTTCCACCTATGCGGATTAGGCTTATTTACTGTTTCTAAATTATTCTTCATATTGCATTTCCGCAAAGTTTGCAGAACATGTAAATTTCTTTCTTCATTTTCATCCACCCCTTGCTTTCATCTATATTATTTTTTAATTTGGCTGAATAAGATCTGTATAAGTTTCTTCTCTATCAGCATTCGTTTCATTTTTATTTGTTTGTTTCTAAATGGCAGAAGTTTTTTTTTTTTTTCAGGTATTTCTCCATCTTAGAATGAAAAATTCTTTGTATTTCCAAAATATATTCGCGCATTTTTAAATTGGTTTATACGCGAATTTCTGACGTTAACATTTTATAATGCGATTTTGGTGAAAACACTGTTGAAAGCAAACACAAAAAAGAATATTATGATAGTCATTCAATAAAACTATACGAAAATTACCACCAAACCATAGAACCCAGATTCTAAAATAAGAGAGAGCAATTAGAAGGTTCCAATTAAATCACTATAAATAAATATTGAACATTATTATTTATCAATTATTAACAATAAGAATACTCTAGAATAAATACTGATACCGTGAAATTATTATAGTTAATACTCACCAAATTTAAGGTCTTCCGTAATGAAAATAATTACGAATTCTTTTACAATTTCGAATACCGAATAGCTGAGTTGAGTTGATTTGTTGTAGTTCTAGCTTACATTGTAAAACTTCTTCAATGATCAGTAATGCCAAAAAATAACTTTAACTTAATTTTGATTTCTGACGTCATGTTGCAGCCTCGTGATCATGATTTTAAAGGAGATTCCCGAACGAATGATCAAAAATGCTTGCAAGAGAAACTCTAAGAATGCGCCATAACTGAAGGGCAGTTCTTAATGCTTACAATTCAGAAACCTTCAATCGCCGTTGTGTTGTGAGTTAATAAGAAACTGACTGGGGGATTGTATTCTCCCGCGAGAAACACTCTCTTCACGGTGATCGGAGTTGATTGAATCACTTGTTGTGTGAACAGTTCCTTAGTTGTTAGTTAATGTAATAATTTTTAAGCCTGTTTTTTCAAATTAGAGGTTTTTTCTTTGAATCTTATCCCTGTATCTGTTTCCTTAAAATCAAGTATTATTTGTTTAGACTTCTTCGATAGAGACTTCTTCTTCTTCGAGAGAGAGAGAGTGCCAGAATTTATCTTTCACAGAATATGTAAGCAACATAAAATTGTCATTGGGAAGTCAACGTTAGAGGCAAAGAATGTTTGTTTAGATGTTAGTACAAAGCTATTGCTCGTAAGTGATAAACAAAATTAATTTTATATTCTGCTATAGAATCTAATTAGTGTTAATCTTTTCTCGTGGGCTCGAAAAGAAGAAAACAAGATCTTCCAAAGGATGCTTTTTGCCACTGTGGGAGTGAAGTATGAAAGGACACCGTTGATCGTATAAACAAAGTAAGAGACGAGCGTTAAACAATTTTATCTTCTTGCTGTTTTTCTTAACTTCGTTTGCTAACTCTTAAACCATCGTAGTTAGGGATAATATGAGGGGCACCGGAGGAGGTTTCCGGCACTTTTGAGTAACTCGAAAAAGCGCGGGAAGGATCCTTCGATTGTTGCATTAGATATAGTATTTAAAAAAAGAGAAAGAAGAAAAGAGGATTTATATATTTCCTCTGCAACATATAACATATTTATTTAAAATCATGTACCTTTTCTTTTTAACATGAATTGCCGAATTTTCTTGAATTGAACATGAATTTTCTTGAAATGCCGCTTTTAGGAATACGAATAAGTATATTCCGCTAAATTTTTTAAATTATCTATGACGGTTAAATATAATCTACATATATATTTCTCTTACACGGCGACAAAAAAAAACTTTATAACAACTCCTTGAATGACAACGCTAGAAAATCGACCAATGATTGCCGCTAAAAATGTCACATGCCAAATCTAGTTGAGGTGGCTCAACATGTAGCGCTTTTAAAAACGGAAACTGAAATAACCAGAGAGCATCAGCTGCGGCAATCTCATACTATTAAGCTAGGCAGAAGTGAGTAGTCTTTGTCGATAGATCTCTATTTTAGTATTTTGTCGAAAGCGCTTTTTTTCACGAATTTATATATTACGAATTTATTTGACGATTTTTGATTTATATCACGAATTATACTATAGCACATTTCTAATAGGTTTAACGAATTACATGTCATTTATTTGAATTCAAATTTATTTTAATGACTTAGTATTTACTAAAAAGATGTAATTTTTTTTAAAAAAAAAAGTTTTTATATGGATTTGAATGATTGTTTCGAATTCTTAGAATTTTGTGCATTTTCAATGTACCTAAGTTAGTAGCGAGCGAAGCGAGCTTGGCTTGCGAAGCAAACCATATAAGATTGCGTAGCAATTTTCGGGGGTTGGCGAGCGTTAGCAAGCAGGGGGCACAGCCCACTAGTATTTCTCTAATATTTGATTACTTATGTAACATCATATTTGTTTTTAGCACACAGTTTCACTTCATTTAAGCTATGAGCTTAGCCAGCTCTAATTATGTATTTAATTTTTCTCAAGATATCACGATTTTCTATTTTTCAAACTTTTTGAAACAATGCTTTTTCCATGACAGTGCAACGTTGAAGCTATTGAAAAACCCGTTTTACAATATTGAAGTGTACAACTCAACCTCGAGGAATGGAAAATATCTTAAAATGATCCAAAAAATATTAGAAATTTGAAGCGCTATTGGATGAAACCGTTCAAAAGATATCAAGGAAAGTTTAATTTCTAAAAAATTGATTTTAAGTACGAAATTTCGTATTTTCGATATTGCACCTGATCTACATATGCCCGAAAGTGGCGATTATATTTTATTTTATAACCGTCATTGAACAACCGACCTATTTTTTGGGTTTACGACTAGTAATGTTCAACATCGTAGTCTTGTAATTTTGAACCCAATCCAGAAGACAACAGAACTCCTGGATCAATTATTGGGAGAAATTTACTTTCATGGCGGACTTTTTTATGGAACTAACCAGCATTTGCGTTAGATGGACAAGAAAACCACGAAAACCTCCCACTGCTAGCCTGACGTTAAGGGTACTCTAACCCACGATCCGTCTACCACTGAGGATGTTTTATGTCAGCACTGTGGTCGGTGTAAGCCGGATGCGGAATTCGTATCGACTAGCCATCGCTGGAATTCGAACCTGCTTTACCTTAACCGGTATACAATTTTTTTGCATCATTTCAACAAATGTAATTTTTCACGAAAAAATATAAAATTTTTGCGAAATAGATCGAATTGTTCCTGAGAAATTGAATTTAAAAAAAGTTAGATTCTTAAAATTCGATTTCTCAGGAGCTATTCAGTCAATTTCGCTCAATTTTTGTATTTTTTGCCGTGTAAAATTATATTCTTTAAATCGATGCAAAAAAATTATCCAACAATTCAAAATTTTTTCTACCATTCTTAAATAAAAAAATAATAAATATTTACTAAAAGTCATTTTTTGCATGGAATTATCTTTGGATAAGCGTATGTATCGTATAATCGAGTGTAAAAAATTTTCAAATACGCAAAAAGCATTTTTAACATTTTTGGATCCAAACTTTTGAGCTTTCTCCTGACCAAACATTTGGGACCCTATTTCCCAGATTGCGGTTACCCCTATATTTTCAGAGTCTGAAATCCAAATCCGTCGAAAAAAAGGGTATGTTTATTCAGAGAAAGTACGTTTTTGTGTCTTATTTCGTAACTAAAAATATCACCTGCAATTATTTATTAGCATATTTGAGGTAACTCCCTCGAGCCATTAAGATTGAGTACCAGTATGTGAAAATCCGTTCATTAGATCAAAAGTTATTTAGGGTGATCCGTTTTTTATTTTGTGCACTGTACGTTTATCGTATTGTAAGATGACAGTCATATGTAAAAAAAAATTTTTTTTATCAGTTCATCTTACATGTAGTTACTAAACTTTTGCACGTGCAACTAGAGCAGTCGCAGGGAGTTGGAATGCTCCTTTATTAAAAAACAATCCCAGTTTTCTATATAGCATAAACAATAAATATTGGAACTGAATGGAATTAGCGATTAATATGCATGTTTAAAAGTCAGCCTTTCAAGCCATGAAGATTTGCTTAAATATTAAATCAAAAGCAATTTAGGGTTTTTTTCCGTTTAATATAACTTTTATTTAGACCTTATTTTATTATTAAACAGAGAAATTACAAAACTTTGATCCAATAATCGTTTCTTTTAGGTGCTGAGGGGATGCAATGCTACTGGCTCAAAGGGATGCACTTAAATACGCTACTTAATTTGCTTTTTTTTTATAACCGTCGTTGAACAACCGATCCAATTTTTAGAGTTTACGACTAACAATGTTCAACTCCGTGGACTTGTAATTTTGAACCCACTACAGAAGACAAGGGAACTCTTAGATCAAATAGTGGGGGACATTTACCTTCGTGTAGGATTTTTTTTAATGTAACTAACTCGAGAGGAAAACCTCCCACGGTTAGACTGACGGTAATGGGACACATAATCTGTCTACAGCTGAGAATATTTTCTTCAGCACTATGGTCGGGGTGAGCCGGGTGCGGAATTCGTATGGACCAGAAATCACTGGAATTCGAATCCAGGTCACTTCATTGGGAGGCGAGTGCTCTATCCCCTGAGATGATATTTCAAGTTACGAAATCAGATACCTTCTCACATACTTTTTATGAATATGCATGCATTTTTGGACCTCAGAAAGCTGGTGCTTGTAAGCACAGGACGAAATATTGTGTCCCGATAGTTAAGATAGGAGATCTGGCTTAAGTTCGTTCATCTTAATCTTCTCATAACTTTTTCGTATTTCATCATTATTCTGGAATTATTGATAAAATGAGACAACATTTTTTGCAAACAATACTAAACTTGTTTATCCTATTAAACTTGTTTACTTGTTATGCAAAGTTCGTTTTTCCAATAATGCAAAATTAATTTATCATTTATTTTGAAAATAATAATTTAATAATTAATCCTTAATTAATATTATATCATTTATTTTTTTATTTAATATCCGTCGTTGAACAGTCGACCCAATTTTTTGGTTTACGACTACTAATGTTCAACTCCTCAGCCTTGTAATTTTGGTTGGGGGGGGGATTATAGTGACGGAGAGATTTTATTCTCCGAATAACCCTTAGGGGTGGATCGGTTTATTTTATATTCCTTTTTGGCATGAATACAGGAAAATAAATAACTGAACATCATATCACCTAATTTCCTTCTCAGCAAACGTGTGGGTGACCACCAGCCAAGTTATAATCCCTAGAGAAGAAAACATTTTCTTCTGTTTTAGAAAATTAGCTACACTGCAAAAGAATGCACCTTTTGCTGGCAATATGTCTGCTGTCTGTCCTTCATTTCCCTTCTGGGCAATCAAGTATTTAAAATAAATATTCAGCGCTATCAATGATGTCAACATTGTTCATTTAATCCTTTATTTTAACATTAAATATGAGTATTTGCTTAAACCAATATTATATACTTATTATCTACTATAGTGAATTGCAGTTTTAAATGGGACATTAACTGTGTTACTGTTACAATAATACTTTTATGGGAGAAAGCCATCAAACTTTACTTCAATTATAGTGAAAATTTTTAATAAATTGCTATTATCTTTCTAATATCTATATTCTTAACAGTCAAATATTTAAAATAAACATCAATTATGTGAAAATTGCCCTTCATTTAATCCTTTATTTTGACATTAAATTTGAGTATTTGCTTAGAACTACAATATTATCTACTAATTGTAGTTAAATGGGAGATTAACTGTGTTACTGTTACAATAATTCCTTTATGGTGGCAATTTATTAATACTTACTTCAATTATAGTGAAATTTTTTAACAAATTGCTATAATCTTTCTAATATTCCTTATCAACAGCCAACTATTTAAAATAAACACCAATGATGTGAAAATTGCATTTCATTTAATCCTTTATTTCAACATTAAATATCAGTATTTGCTTATAAACGATAATATTATTTGCTATTGTATCCCATTACGGTGGAAATTCATCAAAATTTAATTCAACTATTGTGAAAATTTTAAGAAATTGCTAACATCTTAAGATTTAAATTAATTATAAATTTAAACTTCTCCTTTGAAAATATTTTTTTCATATTTCATTCACAAAATAATTAAAAATCTTCAAAGAGATTTTCATTTATCATAAATTACTTTTTTTTTTGAAAGAGAATATTGCATTATTAGAATCATCGTGACTTAGGTACTATTTCAAAATAATGAATCAGAGTATTGCGTTAAAAATAAATTTGACTTTTCAGAATAACTTTTGGTTTTAACATAACTAACAAATCAAATAAATAAATAAAATATATTTATCCCGAACATTCTAACCTTCAAATGACGCATATATATTTTAGTTCTGAAAACCGTTTAAACATAAATAACAGAAACTGCTCTGGAAATAGAATGTATCATTTTCACTCAGTGCTCATCCTTTTTATAATGAGACAATATTCCACTTAAATAATTGTTTGTTTAGATATTGTATGAATCATTTCGAGTTATAAGTCATCAAAAAACGGGAAATTACCCTTATTTGCTCAACACTCAAAACTACCGGCTTAATGAGATTTAAAAGTTTCAGTTTATACCTCCGTCAGCCAATCAGATCAAATATTAGTGAGAAAGTTTTACTTTAAATGCCTGTCTTTTATATAAGAGCTTTTTATTTTCTGTCTTGCATTTTTCTCGTTAGAAATTCAGAGAGGAAAATACTATTGAGTTTTAAAGTAACATGAGGGGAATAATAATTTTCTTCTTTTTAATTCATTTGGTGTATTCTTTTGATGCACAGTATGACGGTCTATGGAAGTCGTATCAGGTAATGTATTTATTTCAAGAAATGAATTGTTTAAACTTTAAGTAAAAATATTGTTTCATTGTTAGTCACTGTAAACTTTCTTTCCATTTTTCTTAAATATACGTTGTATTTTTAGAATTAGATAATTAAAGTTTTAACTGTTTTAAAAAATTAGTTTTTTCAAATAATATTGAAATTTAAGAAATATGACTAATAATATTAATATAAATAATGATTGAAATATTAGTTGTTCTAAAAAAAATAGCTGTCTTAAATAATATTGAAATTAAAAAAATATATAAGTAATAATATTTTTATAAATAATAATTGAAATATTAGTTGTTTTAAAAAATTATTTGTTTTAAATCATTTCGAAATTTAAAAAATATAAATAATATTAATGTAAATAATATTAATGTAAATAACAATTGAAATATAAGATCACGATAATTATGCTATCGTTAATAACGAATATCTCTTGTAAAATTTTTATAAATACCTATTGATCTTTTAAAAATAAGTTTTTCTTTCTTCAATTAGTTACCGGAAATATTTTTTAATGCAAATTTGTTATATTAAAAAAAAAGTTTGCTATATGCCATGAAATATTAATATTTCTTGACTAACTTGGTATTTCAATGTCAACATCGTTCTGCAATATTTGAGAGTTCCGTGTGATTTCTCGTTGTTGACTTTTTTAATTTTTATTTGCGCATTTGTTTTGTCATTTTGTGACTTAAAATATGTTTTTTAATTGCTCTGGGTAAAAAAAAAAAGCTTTGACTCGTTGAGATCGAAGGGCGTCATGGAAGTTAAGGCTCTCCAATTTCCTGACCAACCGCATGAAGCTGACAATGTAGTCAGCTTTACGCACCGACCGCCTTTAATTTTCAGATTAGCTGATATCCATGCTAGTCTTGGATAATGCTAGAGATAAATGTAGCAGTAAGGAAATGGTGTGATTTTGCGAAATAAGAAAAGGGAATAACTAATTCTCCATTTTTCTTATCTCGTAATTGATGGTTTTATTTAAGGCTATAATTTCAAATTGCGAATTAAATGCCGTTAGTCGCTAGATTAGATGGTTCTCTGGTGTTTGAAAATTACAAGTTATTATAATGTACTTTAAAAATGAGTAAAGTCTAGTTTAAATATTAGAATGTTAGCAAAATTTTTAAAACAATTTATAAAATTATTTGATGAACAGTTGTATTTTGTTTCTGCTATAAATATACAAATAAATGTAGTTGTTTTGTAACTATTCGTGACCTAACAGAAATTGCTGGAACAAAGTTTTATACTATATTATAAGTAATCTTAGCACTAAAAAAAAAATTGAGTAAAAACAGGAACAAGTGCTGGGCTTTATATAATTTGAAAATGAAAATTTATTTAAAAATGGAATTTTTTTAAAAATGAAAATTTTTTTAAAAATGAAAATATTTATTTAAATTTTTTTTCTAAATGAAAACTATTTTAAAAATGAAAATATTAATATAAAAAGGAAATTTTTTTAAAAAAAAATATTTATTTAAAATTGAAACTTTTTTAAAAAATAAATTTCTTTTAAAAAAATTTTTTATTTAAAAATGAAAATTTATTTAAAAATGAACCTTTTCTAAAAACGAAAAAATTTTTAAAAATGGAAATATTTATTTTAAATTTTTTTTTATTTAAAAATGAAAATTTATTTAAATGAATAACATAAAGAACATAAGCACCTAATTATGATGCCTAACCAAAAAAAATTATGTGTTGACACATTTTTATAATAAACAAATAAATTATTTCAAATTTCTTTCGTTACAATAAATGAGAAATTTTAATTATAATTAATCTTTACTAATTGTAAATCAAAACATGAAACCAAAAACCTAACAGGGTTTCAAGTAAAAGCTTTTTTTTTCTCTAGGGATAGCTTCTGACTAATTTTTTGTTTATAACAATTAATTGTTTATGTTACAGATAAAGCATGGAAGAACGTATTCGGCCTCTGAAGAAAACATACGAAGATCGATTTGGGAAGATAATGCAAAAATGATAGCTTTACACAACTTGGAAGCAGATCAAGGACTGCAACATTTTAGAATGGAGCTGAACAAATTTTCTGATAAAGTAAGACACTAATATAACTCATAAAAACCATTTTGTTCTACATAAAAGATCTTCTACAGCTCATATCTTTTACTTTTCATCTTTTTTTTAAATATTCAGTTATTTTTGAATTTTCTAATTTTTTGGACTACTATTTTAAACAAACGCAATAAATATTTCGATTATAAAATTTAAGTTATTCACTAAAGCAGCGGTTCCTAAATAGTATTCCATGGAACCATGGGGTTCCTGGGAAGAATTAAAATGGGCTCCATTAATTAGTACTTTTTATAATCCAGGGATGATTTTTGAAACCTCCAATTATATTTAAATCAAATCCATAATTCCGAATTTATTACCTTTGAAATTCCTCCAAGAACAATGACAAGGAAATAGAAACGGCATTTTTGAAAAGAAAACATAATAGTTCTAATAATAATGTATTGAACAAATTATTAAAAGAAGAAGTATTTATTAAATATTTCACTAATATTTCGTCCTTTTGAATCAAAATAAAATAACTAAATTCTTTAAAGTTTCCTTAATGACCATTTTTAACATTTATAGCAGTTCTTTTAAGTTTTAATTTCATAGTAAACCATTATTCGGCTTGTTTTATTCATTTTTAGCTTAAGTACTGAGAATGAGCGAAATTGGTGGTGGTTAACTTCCACCGGACCGATGAATTTTGACAATCACTTAAGATTTGGTAAATGCCCGATATATGTACTAGGTCTAGTTAAGTGCCTCTGCCCAGTATAAGTTTGCCCGGTATGCCCTACATGAATGCTTTTTTAAGCTCAAGTGCCACTGCCCATCAGAATGCATTTAACCAGTACTCCGAACACTGATGTTTCTCCTAATCTAACCTAAGCAGATATTGAAATATCGAATAAATATAATAACATCAACGAATTAACTAATATCAAATCGGATATAATAAGTATTTCGGACATTCATCAAAACGACTATGTGTTTGTTGACATTCACAGTTGAAACTCGGCATTCTCTTGATTTCGGTCATTCACGGTCACATATACAGGGTGTCCCAAAACGACCGCATAAACTCTGCACAGCTAGATTCCTCGTTGGGAGTACATAAAACATATCAACAGCAGTATACTATGCACAATTTAAAGCAGAATATGCGCGGTGAACGTTTGAAACATTATCGTCGTGAAAGATATGTAAATACTGTTGTTGATATGTCCAATAAGGTGTTTTTTTTTCTTGCACAGGCAGTGACGTCATACTTTGTTTTTCGTATTTTTCTCGTAAACTATGGATCGTACCGGAAGACTTCTTTGGGCAGTTTTTTATGTACTCCCAACGAGGAATCTAGCTGTGCAGAGTTTATGCGATCGTTTTGGGACACCCTGTATACACCAAAAACAAATTCATTAAACTAGATTAGAACAATGGTTGCAAATTTGACTGTTGGACATAAAACATAATTTAAGATTATTAATGATAAAACAATGAAAAAATCTTTCCGCTAATTTAATATTTTAAAAATAGTCTTCTTTAGGTTATAACCTTACGAATTACCTTAATAAACTTTCTTTATTAAGTGGCGGAGATGCCAAACGGAAGTTGATTGTTTAGGGTTCCGTTCACGAAAAAAATTGGGAACCGCTACTTCAGAGAAGCGGTTCCCAATTGACTTTTTTCGACTGTTGATCCCTTACCTTCCTTTGGCTATCTGAACCCCGATTTAATAAATACCCTATCTTTACTTTATAACCCCTATTTTATAAATAAAGTCCTTTAGCAATCATTTACGTATCCACAAAAGAGAGACAAGCGAGGGGGCGGAATAGCCTGGTTGGCAGGGCGCTGGACTCACGTTCCTGAGAATGGGAGTACGAATCCAACCGACCGAAGACTCCCCGTGTAGTAAATGGTGACTGGTACTCGTTAAATATGTTGGATCACAAAGCCCTCCATGTTCCCATAAGAAATTGTACCTCTGGGGGTACTGAATTGGAGATTGATCCTTCTCTGGTTCAAATCAAAATTACGATTTGGGGATGAATGAATGGGTCCGCCCTATAAAACGGGTGTGACGTATGGATGTGGCAGAAGTCGAATTCTTGGATAAAGATGGCGCACGTGGAAAACAAGAACAATCGCACTTTAATGGCAGACGACAAAAACAACAGAGACTGGTAATTATTTTGAATAGATTTACCGTGGAAAATTAATTTTTTTCAGCTTGTCGGAAAGTAATTTTTCTCAACGTTAGTTTTAAAATTTGGTTTTATGTCAGACTAATAATTTCTTAGACCTGGACAGACATGTTGTCTATTTCTGAATTTACTTTTTGTTTACGCATAAGCTGAAATGAATGAAATAAATAATGAAATGATTCGTTTGAATGAAAACCAAAAAAAAACTCAACTATTACGAGAATTGAGAACGGCTATCAGAGAAACTTATATCTTTTAAATGTTAAATTTGGCTAATTCATTTTCAATTGTGAAGTTCAATGGAAAATACTAATGCAAATTTTTATGCTTGTACATCCTTTTCGTAATTTATTCGAAATATTAATATTCGAAAATATATATTTTTAATATAGATATAATATTATATCAGAAATCATTATTAGCAGAAAAAAAAAGTTCTAACCTGGGTACCCTTATAACCCTTCCGCGGAACACTTTTTGAGAACCAGTACTTAAGAGAGGTAAAATTATTGGAAACACAATTAAACATATCTTTTTCCAAATTTTGATTTTAAAAAAAATTTGTACTTCCTCGTTAATAGAAAATTCAGTTTACAATAAAATGAGTCATCTTCATCTGCCAAATAAATTACATCATTTCCATCAAAAATTATTTCCAAAAAACAAATCTATTTTAATGTCAATTTGGTAGGTAGGCAGGTACTTTATTTACGTCACACTAGAGCTGCACAATGGGCTATTGGCGACGTTCTGGGAAACATCCTCGAGGATTATCCGAAGACTTGCCATCGCAATTTTGATCCTCTTCAGAGGGGAGGTCCCCCCCTGATTTGGTAGCCCGACGACCTACGCGGGAAGTCGAGCACTTCATGGTAGAACAGTTTAACGAGGACCGATACCTAGCACCCTCGGTCTCTACGCAGGCAATCATAGTGAGTGGTCATCCACCCGCTTACTGCCAGTGATGCTTGACTTCGGTGTTCTACTGGGAACAGTATCTTTAAGATTAGTTAACTGCAGGGCAATATCAATTGGAATACCACAAGAAAAATAATTAAACAATTAATATTATTGAAGATTCAATTCAAATAATAATAACTGCAAGAGAATAACAGGAATTGATAGTGAAAATTTCAGCCCATAATATGTTAAATTATTTATCATTATTGATACATTTTATCTGTCATACTTTTTAATACTTCCATACGGAAGTTTTATTCAACATATTTTTATACTTTTTTCATTATTTCGTATTAATTTAGGTCTAAATAAGTGAGAAATATTATATTTAGCATTTTAATAATTTACGGTTATGTAAAACAGCAATAAAGCACCGGTGCTTTTTTCTGCGTTAAAGGCAAAATCTTACAAACACGGCTCACTTCCGAACAATAATTTTTCGAATTTGCAGTCATTTAGATCTAAAAGAAACTGTTATTCATCATTGAGATTTCTTTAATTTACAAAATCATTGTTAAATTTTTGAAAGTGAATGAATTTTTTTCTTCCGTATTTTATATTTTAAGCACAAATATAATTCCGATAATCTAAAAGATTTTCTTAGTAATTATTAAACTGTTTTCAATAATTAAAAATATGACAGAATTTATTTTTGCTTGAAACTGGAGCATCAGAAAAAATACATAAAAGGGACAACTGTGTCCCATCTGCGTCAAAGGGTAAAAGTAATTATACTGGTAAAACAGTTAGTTGACAAAATTTAAGTCGATATCGTTGCATTGATAACTAGTCTTTGCTTTTAAAAATTAGGATTTAAAATAATTTTATTTATGTATTTAAATTGCCATTGTATGTTAATAAGATAAAAGAGGGAGGGGTTATAATTCTTAGATGACCATTTATTTTAAGCAGCCTGCTTTTATAAAATAAAAATATATGACCGTATAATGAGAGTTCATTGACCGTATAATGAGAGTATGGATGGTTGACTGAATGTAAACAATAACAAGTTTTCTAAAACCGGAAGAAATTCAGAAAACTTCCGGTGTATCCCTCCGCATATGTTATGCTTACGAGGCGAAGTGCGAACAGGCTTCATTATTTTTATAAATTTTTATCATTGGATTGTTGTTTAAATTTACGCCTAATTTTACCCTTCATAAAAGTTTACTGTCATACATAAATTCTAAAAGATTGTAAGGTTGAAACAAATTTTAAGAAAGTCAATATCACAACTTAAATAAAGTGTGGTTTGCCATGTTGTGAGTGTTATTCTTCTTTTGGCTATATTTGAGTTAAATATCTCAATTTGTTATTTTTTGGGTAGCATCATAGCATGCTTTTAGAGTCTTCCGAAATCATTTGATGTTTGTTACCTTGAAATTTAAATTGGAAAAAATGCTTTATATTGTAAACACCACAAGTATAACAACATTGGATGGCAAGTGGCTGGGTGGTTTCAGTTGGTTTGTCGTCGGCCTTCTGAGCCCAAGTCTGCGGGTTCGATCCCCGGCCCAGACACCGGATTTTCGGGATGCAGAAAATCCTCAGCGGCCATGTCGTATGATTATGCGGCATGTAAAAGATCCCTGGAGTGCCTTATTGGCTCTTGGCATTTCCGGCAAAATTAAATTCCTAGTGCACTTTAGCATCCAAATAGAGTCTCGGTGCTGCCATCTAGTGTGGCAGAAACTAGACGTCCAAATTA